TGGTGGCCTCATTGTTAGTGCGCTCGTCTCCGGATCGAGCGGTCCGGGTTCGAGCGCTGGCCGGGGACATTGCGTTGTGTTCTTGGGCAAGAACTCACAGTGCCTCTCCCCACCTAGGTGTTTGAATGGGTACCGGCGAACTTAATGCTGGGGGTAGCCCTGCGATGGACTAGCATACCATCCAGTGGGGAATAGAAATACTTCTAGACGCTTCATGCTACGGAAACCGGAATAAGCTCCGGCCTGGCTCCTTTGCAGACTAAATCATCCCTTGCTAGTACTTGGTTCTGGCTGCCATTTCTTTTAAAAAGTAAAATCTCTCTTCCCTGTTCAGTCGTTAAACAATGAAGCTCCAATATTTAGTCTACCGTAAACTTTCGAAAGTAACTGAACGCCCCCAGAAAATGCAGCAAAGAGGCTTTTATGCAAAACAACAGTGAGGAAAAGCAGATGCAACGAACAGCAAATTGATTATTCTCTCCTGATGTTCATTCATTACATGTACTCTTCTAAATTACTGCTTCTTTTATTCTAGACAAGGTTAGTTAAGTTTATTATCATATTTTGTGCTAGGGATACGCAAAAATTCCCATTTGACTGAGTAATAGTAAAATGGACCGACTCGTTTATAATAAACATTCTCGCTTAACCGAAATTACCTACAAATCAAAAATAGCTTTGGGAAACGGCTTCTAAAATTTCAATCAGAAGGTTATTTTCACAAATTCCTTTCCCGCTACCAGGAAAGGTACTAGGAGAATGAAAAATTTTGAATTTAGCACTCAAAATACTCAAGGCAGAATATTTGAAATAAACGTTTTTTGTACCATGGTGCTTAACTAAGGAATTCGCTTCCAACAAAGATTTAATAAACAGATCAAAGCCAAAACTTGAACAATACTTGCAATTCTAACAATGCCTTGATTAACTTTTTAAAATCCCTGTTTGTTTACAGCAGAAAGCGTGCTTACAGCAGAACGCACTCGACTGATTGTCCCAACTTTTACCACCTGTCGTAAGTTTTCTCTATCGTCAGAAATGATGTAGAGTTCCCCACAAGGTGTCAAACAATATTCCTCTTTCAAACTTTCAACGATGTACTGAGGTATTTGCCAATTTCCATATCTAAAGTGTACATCACTTTCTTGAAAGGAAACCTGTCCGTAAAGGATACGAGTTTTTAACATGAAAGTTTCATTGTCAGCGATCCGTATTCCTTCATACCTTGACCTCGAGACTTCAATCAACTTTGGATCAACGGACCATCGAAGTGTGCCATCAATGCCTTGCACGATTGTTACTCCAGTCACGGGCGTGTCGTGATACTGTTGAAACAGATTTTGATTAATGTGATCCGGGACCGTAAATGCGGGGTCCCATNAGTTGAAGATCTGCTAACTGATAAGATATTATTCCATTAAAAAGTAAACTCCTCAGTAACACAGGTTCCCCAGTAATACTTCTAGCAGGAGGATCTCTTGACTTCATTGCTGTTGTGGCTTGCGTAGCTGGTTGCTTCTTAGTTTTTGTATTCAACCCATGTCCTGGTTCCCGGTCTAAAGGGTTTCTTTGAAGGGGATCAATTTGTGATTGACCTGAAAGGATAGAAAACGATACAGCTGCTGAATCTGAAGCATCACGGATCATTTTTTTTTTTTTCTTTTTTGAGAAACTCTAGAAAGTTGGTTAGGACGGTGGTCATGTCGAAATCAGAAACTGAACCTTTGCTAAATAGTAAATGGTTGGTAAATGTGGCAGTTTCGATATATTAAAAGTTATAACTTGGCCCCGTGGCTTGGGGAAATACAACAAACAAATCATTGAAGGTCACTTCAAATAGTGTCTGTGGACAAATATGATGCATTTTTACCTTTAGGAGATCTTGACGCATTGAACTCCTTAGGTCGGGCGCCTGCCCTGTTGCCCATTTCATTGCTTATTTCAACGCGAGAGACCATTGAACTTAGTTGCTGTGCAGACCCCTCTTCCACGTCTTCTATCTCGAGTTTGGTAGAGCTCGCTGACCGCGGTGTTTGTGATGATGGTCCTTGTGGCGGTTGATATTCAAATTTCTGTCCTTTCTTGCTTGGATCAAAGTAATGCAGCAGCGCTTCCTCGTGAATCACTCTGTGATTTTTGTTCCAAGAAAAGACGAAGCTTTTTCTTCCATCCATGAACTCCTCGC